TAGTTAACGATACTATAATTGTTAACTTTGCAATAAATAACGTGCCTTATCGATCGTAGACGGTTGGCACTACCTACGCCATCCGTTCAGCTTTGCTTAATCAACAAAACCATAGTTTTCATTATTTCAATTACAATTAGTAAAATTCAGTTACCAAAGTCTTCCCTACGCGGACGGGCCGATATCTTAATGAACATATACTTAACGCACATAGTGTATTAGTATTAACATAAGAAGGTAACTCCTATCCCTACGGCCAACTTAATTCAAAAGTGTACTGCAAATTAAATAACAAGTTTATAATAATAAATAAAGTTTTTAAGAATTACTTTAAACGTTCTTTTTTAAAAACAAGGGATAGCATCGGCCAAAAATAACTCGTTAGTTTCATCACAACGCCTTGATATACATCACAATAGCATTATAATCGCTTATTTTATTGGCTACATCGTAAAATATTTGAAAGATTATTAAATACGGGTCACTTAATAAACTTTTCAACTGTAAAACCGATTTGTAAGGTTTTTAAGTGGAGAACGGTCTCAGAGCAGCAGCAATAACAAGTACAAGCCCTCCAGCGCTGCCTAAAGTAATTTGGGCAATTATTACTCTGTCTGAAACAAAACTTGAGCAATTAAAACATCCACCGAGACCATGTGCTTGTGTCACTCGAACAAATTTCTGAAAATAATTTTCCCGAATCACCAAGTGTCTCTTGCAAGGGGTGCTCTCCCGCACTCAAATTGAAAACGGGAAACGAAATGAGCAAATCTCAAGAAACATTCAAATATATGATGTGGTCGTCAGGCATGATCCACTCACACGGAATTGCGCCACAAAATCTGTTATTTTGGTAGAAAATTAATTTAAAATGAACGCCCATTAGGGGAGTTATTCCCGTAGTGAATTACTAGAGGGATTTCAATGAAACTTGACAAATCAGGATTTAGTTATGCTTACATAATTTGTATGAAATTTGGAGATTACACTTTTCAACGGTTGCGATAGAGAATTCATAAAAATTTGAACACTCACTAACAAACTATTCTTGGTTAGATTAGACATAAGGAAATTTTCAAAAAGACTAAAGGCGCACATACTTTAAATATCATTTCCCCCTGCAGAATTTTACTCGTTTAGGAAAGGATCTTTGGATAACTCAATTCGCTATTTAAGGGACGCCAACAGACTACGCATGCGTCTGAAGGAGCACTGTATATTCCTGACAGTGATTCAGGGCAAAACAATAAAAACAAAAAATATATAATTAGTAATCGCTATTATTTCAGACACACGCAGAGCAAGGAGCATCTTATGACAGACCTGACATCACACTAACTATCAAGGAAGTCAAAAACAACCTACCAAATATATGTTGCTATATCAAGTACATAAAATCATAGACAAAAGCATTGACAAAATTTAACAATATATACGTTTAGTCGAAGAAATCGAAGAAATATGGAATCAGAACACTGTTTGAATTGTTCCAATAATAATTTTATCAATAAACGTTATACATCAGTAATGATACAAATGCGGAATAATACGCAAATTTCTTACCATCTCTGTCATATCCCCCTTTCAAAATAACACAATAGATTAAGTTTATTTTGATGAGAAAATATTATTCCCACCGGGCGTACTGCTGAATAACCTATTTATTAAGCCCTACAACTTAGAAAAAAATATAAAATTAAAAAAAATATGGA